TGCCAGGTGCGTTCTTTTTTTTTTGTTTTTTTTTTTTTTTTTTTGAGATGGAGTCTCACTCTGTCCACCCAGGCTGGAATGCAGTGGTCGCGATTCCGTCAGCTCATTGCAGATCCTCTGCATTCCCAGGGATTCACGCATAGTCGTGCCGTAGCAGTTCTCCCAAGTACTGGGATGACAGGGCGCGCCCGCCCACCGGATCGTCCAGGGTAGAATGTGTGTGTGTTTGTGTAGTGGAGTGCAGGATGGTCTCGATCTCCTGACCTCGTGATCCGCCCGTCTCGGCCTCCCAAAGTGCTGGGATTACAGGCTTGAGCCACCGCGCCCGGCCTATAAAATGTATTTTTAACATATAAGGAGACAGATGATTAAATGTTTTTTATTCCATCAATTAACAGCATACTATTTTAACAGCTTGTCTGAATCTAACTATCCTTGTATTTCTGTAATAAATTCAATTTGATCATGGCATGCTATTTTAATATACTATTTCATAGAGCATTAACGTTATCATAGCTTCTACAGTTCAGAATACACATATTCTTTATCTTATCCACTCCACTTCTAGGAATCTCCACCCCACAAATAACTGTACAAATGCACCAAGCTTTAGGAACAAGATAATTCACTGTCTCATCAACAACAGAAAAATGAAACAACTTACATGTCTACCATGAGACTGGTTAAATACCTTATAATAAACCTCACCAAAAAAAATATCAATTTTCATGCAATGAAAAACTATGTCCCATCAAAAATGATTAGGTAGAATTGTATGTACTGACATGGAAAGAAATTAAGTGGGGGGAAAAGCAAGCTACAGACAGTGGGTATACTATAATGGACTACATTTGGTTTAAAACTTCTCCATATACATATTTAATACATTTATATCTGTATATATACAAATATCTTTGTAAATGCTTAGAAAATATTGAAAAATAACGTCAAACTTTAGAGCTTTACTTATTCTTTAGACTTTTAAAGCCTTTGGTTCATTTTTGTAATTGAAAAAGAGAACAGAGTTTATAATTTTTTAAAATTAACTAATTAATGTTTTCAAACAAGCTCTTGTCAGCCCACAAAGATTTTTTTTAAATGCTGATCTAAGGTTCCTCTGAGTTCCATGTTCTCTATTTCACTGAAGATCTTAGCAAAAGGATGAAAAGTGTTTCTGATAATTACAACATTAAAATTCTAAGGCTCTGTTAGTCTCTTATAGAAAGTGTTTGGAGACAGGACTCAGGAGTTTATATAGCGTGGTCTAGATGAAGAGTTAAAGAACACATAATGCTGCTTTTGTCTGGTTCCTGGACAACTTTCATTTCAACAAGCATTTATCAGGAAGCCACCCATAAGGGCAGGGCCTGGGCCCCTGGTGTGTCCTGGAGATCTCTGTCGGGAGAATAGCCTGAGGTGACCACACTCCTCTCGCTGATACGGAAGCACTATCGCGTTCCTCGCAGGAGGGTGAGCTGAGGACACCGCCACCGCTTTCCAACCAGGTCCTTCCCCACCATCCCGCCCCTGTGAGAAATGTGTCCTGCAGTGAACCTCGCATTAGACAAATAAAAGGGCCAAGCACTGTCTGATCAGCTAGACTTAAAAAAACAACAACAAACAAAACAGAACTGACTGTCTCTTTGTGTTTAAAGACAGCCAATCAACTCTCACTTTAGCTCTTTCTTCTTTAAGTGCCTCACTTTTTGGCCTATCATGAAGAGGCCCTTCTAGTATTCAGATTAACTATCAGACCCTCAACTAAGTCTGCATAGATAGCCTGAAATCTTATTCTAAAGGATAACTAATCATCCAAGCCAATCATCTTATTCTAAAGGATAACTGGCTCTTCAAGGGTGGTCCCAGAGCCAGCAGCATCAGAATCCCCTAGAAATTTGGTAGGAATGGAACACAGATTCTCAGGTCCCATCCCAGACCTGCTGGGTCAGAAACTCAGGTGGGGCCCAGTCATCTGTGTTTTAACAAACCCTCTAGAGACTCTGAGGCCCACTGAAATCTGACAACCACTGCTCTGAGGCTTTGCTTGTTCAGGATTGTCTCTACCACACAGTAACAAGACCAGTTTCCCCAAATCTCAGAGAACCTGCTAGCACAGTGTTGGTTCTTTGTTTCTAGAACAAGCTTTTAATGAACTCCTAAGCTGCAGAGAATCTCCTTCCCAGACAGAACACACAAGGCTCTGTGCTGTGCACCGGTCTCAGATACGGGTTTGACAACTGACTCCAATTATCTATGAAGATAAGGACCTGGGCACCCACAAAGCATGAAGCTCATAAATAAGTTGGGAAATTTTAGGATCTGCTTTCAACCTTCCCCTCCTTTCTCCAAATCTTTACTGGAAAAGCTAAGAGAACCAGGTTTTCCTGATTTCAGTTTATTTCCCCTCCCTGCCTTCAGCCAACTCCTGACAGCAGAGCAGTCCTGAAGAGAAAGGGTTGAGGAACAGTCTAGGAAAAGAGACAGCCTAGACCTGCCATTCACAAACTATACCCACCATTCACAAACTAGATCCCTACCCAGGGGATTTGCATCAATCACTCATTACTCCCCTTGTTCCAGAAAGGATCTTACGAAGATATCTACAAGATAAAACTAACAAGTGATGAAATCAGAGTAAAGGGCAAAAAAAAAGGTACGCTGGCATACAAAATACAAACAGTGGGATTTTGTGTGTATTTTTGAGAGATAAGCCTGGAATATCTTGTTATATGAGAAATCCAAAAAAGGCTTGTTAGGGTCATGTCAAAAACAAAACAAAATAAAACAAACAAACAAAAAAATCCAGAGGAATAAACCTGAATAGGTTCTATGGGCCAAAGATGAGAAATTACCTTCCTCCTGATGGGGTACACAAATCTGGCTCCAAGTTTACTAGCAGGCAACATAAAGATGGAACTGCAATCTGTTACATGATTTGCAAGGTCCTTAAGATAAAAATAAACCAGTTGCTAAGGAAAAACACAAGTATTCCTGGTCTTGAGAGGAATTCCTCCCTTGGATCAGTTTCTGAAGAATCTACAGCTGGCTGTTATTTTTAAAGCAATCAGGGGGGGAAAAAAAGACATATTTCAACCTTATCTTACCAAATTTCAAAGATCTCTTGATCCTTGTTTCAAAATACTTTTCTATAATGAAAAGTTGTTTAAGAGAGCTGTCTGGAAATCTTATAAAATTGTTACCTCAAAATGCCCCAGAACAAAAAACCTGCCCCAGATCAAACTTGTACATTTGACTCCCCTGCAGCAAATGATAGTGTCAGGATTCCTTACAAAAATCACTGGCCCAGAAGCTGCCTGGTCTAATCTGCAAACTACAACACACAGGGATGTGAGCACATGCAGGCAAGCATGACAACACTTACACAGCTTCAAATCTGTCTTATGCTCATTGACTCAGAAGTGCCCTCATATCAGGCTAGAATTTACAGATTGGTGAATACAAATGTTCCCAGATGGTCTAGGAAATTAAGAGTGATGACTGTAGATCACTGTCCTCCATGTATCTTGCTTTTCATTTATTCAGAGAAGCTGTTGTAGTCATTCAGTTCAAAATCATGTTCTGTGCTACACAGACAAGAGTATCTGGCTCCTTGCCAGGCACGGTGGCTCATGCCTGTAATCCCAGCACTTTGGGAGGTCAAGGCGGGCGGATCACCTATGGTCAGGAGTTCGAGACCAGCCTGGCCAACATGGGGAAACCCTGTCTCTGCTAAAAATACAAAAATTAGCCGGGAGTGGTGGCGCATACCTGTAGTCTCAGCTACTCGGGAGGCTGAGACAGGAAAATTGCTTGAAACTGGGAGGTGAAGGTTGCAGTGCGCCGAGACCATACCACTGCACTCTAGACTGGAGGACAGAGCAGATTCCATGTCAAAAAAATAAATAAAAAGTATTTGGCTCCCATGGTCAGACAAAATCTGGTTCCCAAATCCGCAGCAACTCTAAGCCACGCAGCTTTTCACGTATTTGTATGTATATGTATGGGCAAGCATATGCTTATGTCTACATCATCTTAGCTTTTATTATTAAAATACTAACGCGGCCGGGCGTGGTGGCTCATGCCTGTAATCCCAGCACTTTGGGAGGCCGAGGCGGGTGGATCATGAAGTCAGGAGATCAAGACCGTCCTGGCTAACACGGTGAAACCCCGTCTCTACTAAAAATACAAAAAATTAGCCGGGTGTGGTGGCGGGCGCCTGTAGTCCCAGCTACTCGGGAGGCTGAGGCAGGAGAATGGCGTGAACCCGGGAGGCGGAGCTTGCAGTGAGCTAAGATTGCATCACTGCACTCCAGCCTGGGCTACAGCATGACTCCGTCTCAAAAACAAAACAAAACAAAAACTAATGCTTATTTGAAAAAATGCAATTAGTGCATTTGTCTGTGAGGTAGTTAATGACTGTCTACCTTTTCTGTAGTACTCATGACAAGCACTAAGTCTTTCCACACATTAATTCAGTTTATCCTCACGACACTCCTACAGTCTAAGTATTTTTATCATCAACTCTATTTTGCAGATAAGAAAACTGAGTCACAGAAGAGCAGAACAACTTGCTAGGGACTCAGCAGTGAGTGGCAGGGCCAGGACTGGGCCTCAGTCTGACTCAAGTCCCTGCTCTCAGCCCCGGAGCCACAGACTGGAACTCAGAGAGTTTACTAACTGCTGTGGACACGCACGTGGGTTTCCAAGTCTCCATCTATATGAACTGCTCAAAAACCACAACTAGTAAACAGAAACCCTAGAGTCCTGAATTTGAATTGGGAGTGTCAATATAAACTCATGATGTATGTAATCACTAAGCAATAACAAGAATGAAAAATCCATAGATTCAACATAGCTCTTTCTACTTAAGCAGCCTAAAAACAATGAACAACCCCGTGTAGTCATAAGTGCCCCTAGTAGGCAGAGTCTGTTTTCTAAATACTTTTTCCTCCAAGAAAAAGAACCGGGACTTCTTGGATAAATGTACAACGTGAACCCAGGATATCTTGTCATATGAGAAATCAAGAAAGTTATGAAAGACTCCTATGATCCTGTCCAAAGGATTTAGGGGACAACCTGAGTAGGTTCCCACTGGCCAGGAGTGAGACATGACATTCCTCTTAGGGGAGGTAAAAAATTCTACCTATGAGGCAGTTTTGGAAAAAAAGGAAAAACAACCTGATCCCAATCAGGGCTTTTGGTCTAACTACCAATTTACAGGACACAGAGGCATGCGAAACATTATAAATGACACCACAATACCACGGGAAAGCTGTCAGCAAAATTCAGGCTGTAGGAAACTAACTCTACAGGACATAGAGCCATATAACCATGTTTCTTCAATAAAAACATTTCAAGATAGAGATAAGCAGGGGTACATGAATTGGGCAGACCTACAGAATGAAAGAAACCCAGAAACAATGGAAGTGAGGATCCCACAGTCAGCCTTCCATAACCCAGTTATCAGGGCTTCCTTTCTGTATGCTTTCTATTACAAGGCAATGAAAAATGAGAGGTGCTTAATATCCACGTTCCATTAACAGCACACCCGTTTCTCCTTGGACATCTGTGTATCACTCACCGCTCCTCCATGAGTTCCCGGATAGAGGCGACTGTGGGGCCAGATCCCAGGTGAGTATAATATGGACCTTCATCTTTCTCCACTATTTGTTCTGCAGAAACACAAAGAGTAAACATTTTTGGAATATTAATTCGTTAATATTAATTTAGAAAGGCAAACCACCAACAGGAAAGTTAACAGGCATGCTAGAAAACAGGAAACCCACATGCTTATGAACATGTGAAAAGGTGTTCAACTCCAGTAGAAATCAGGAAATACACATTAAAATCACAATAAAACACCATCACACATGGACCAAATTGGCAAAAATTTAAAACTCTGATAAAACCAAGTGCTGTCTGTGATCTAAGCACTTTGGGATTCCGCCTACCATTGTCCAATAAAGCTAAAGAGTTGCATCCTGCATGACCCAGTAATTCCATTTCTAGACACACACTCAAGACCAGCGGTCAGCAAGCTACTCTCCTCCAGTGAGCCACCGCACCCGGCCAAAAACATTTTGTTAAGTGACAGAAGCCCTCCTGGGTAAATACCCAACCAAACTGAAGACAGAGGCTCAAACAGATACTTGTATGCCAATGTTCAGAGCAGCATTTATTCACCACAACTAAAAGGTGAAAACAACATAACCATCCATCAGCAGGTGGTTGGATATATGAAATGTGTATGTCCATATGACGGAATATTAGCCAAAAAAGGAATGAAGTTTTGATACATGTTATTACATGGATGAACCTTAAGAACATTATGCCAAGTAAAAGAAACCAGACACAAAGGACAAATACGGTAGGATTTCACTGATATGAGTTATCTAGAAGAGGCAGGTTCCTGGAGACAGCAGGTAGATGAGAGGTTTGCAGGGGCTGGGAGGAGCAGCAAATGAGGGGTTATTGCTTAATGGGACAGAGTTTCTGTTTAGGCTGGTGAAGTTTTGGAAACAGATAGTGATGACAGTTGCACAATATTGTGAATGTAATTAATGCCACTAAACTGTACACATAAACATGATCAAAATGGCAAATTTAAGTTACACATACTTTACCACAATTTAAATAAAAGAAGTTCTGATACATGCTACAATATGGATGAACCCTGAAAACATTTTTTTTTTTTTTTTTGAGATCGAGTTTTGCTCTTGTTGGGGTGCAATGGCGTGATCTCGGCTCACTGCAACCTCCGCCTCCCAGGTTCAAGTGATTCTCATGCCTCAGCCTCCCAAGTAGCTGGGATTACAGGCATGTGCCACCACACCCGGCTAATTTTGTATTTTTAGTAGAGACAGGGGTTTCACCATGTTGGCCAGACTGGTCTTGAACTCCTGACCTCAGGTGATCCACTCACCTCGGTGCTGGGATCCCACTCCCAAAGTGCTGGGATTACAGGTATAAGCCACTGTGCCCCACCAAAAACATTTTGTTAAGTGAAAGAACACAGATACAAAACAGGTCACACATTGCATGCTTCCATTCATATGAAATACTCAGAATAGGTAAATCTATAGAAACAAAAAAGCAAATTGGTGGTTGTTGCCAGAGGCTGGGGACTGGGGGTGTGTGGGTAGGAATGAGGAGTAACTGCTTAATGGGTACAGGGTTTTTTTTTTTTCCGAAAAATTTTAAATATTTTTAAATATCATGAAAATATTTTAAAACTGGAGGGAGATGTGGTTGTATAATATTGTGAATGTACTAAATGCCACTGAATTGTTCACTTTAAGATGGTTAATTTTATGTGAAGCTCAACTCAACTTGTAAAAAGGAACAAACCATTCATGTAACAACACGGATGAATTTTAAATGAGTTTTTCTAAGTGAAAGAAAATAGACTCAAAAGGCTACATAGTAGCTGCTTTGGAAAAGAGTGATTTGGCTGGATATTAGGAGGCTAAAAACAAAAAAACTCTACACACAGTGTGCACCTACTGTACTACAGCTGGCAAGTTTGCTTCATATCTAAGATACGACAATTACATGTAATAGAGTATCCTACACTGGGTCCTATGACAGAAAAAGGACCATTGGTGGAAAAACTGATGAAATCCAAAAAGTCTGTAGTTAACAGTACTGTACCAACATTAATTTCTTCATTTTAAATATACCATAATTACGTAAGACATTTACAAGCAAGAGAAGGTATATAAAGTATATACAGGAACTCTCTGCACTAACTTCGTAACTCTCCCATAAATGTAAAATTATTTCAAAATAAAGTATTTAAAAAGTAAAAGAAAAAAACAGACAGTGAGCCATAATTTGCTGATCCTTAGGAGAAATCATAGTCACACACATTAAATCCCACATACAAAGATTTTCACATCAACACAGTCTGCAAGAGTCAAAGCTGTAGACAGCCTGCTGTGGACTGAATGTTTGTGTCCCTCCCAAATTTGTATGTTGAAGCCTAATCCCCAATGGGATAGCATTTGGAGGTAGGGCTTTGGGGAGGTAATTAGGGCAAGAGGGTGGCACCCTCCTGAATGCGACTAATGTCCTTATAGGAAGGGATACCAGAGAGCTTGCTTCCCCTTCCCTCTCCCCTCCTGGCTATGTGAAGATATAGCGAGGAGGTGGCTGTCTACATGCTAGGAGGGGGCTCTCGATGGACACTAGACCTGCTGGTGTCTTGATCTTAGAATTCTCAGCCTCTAGAGCTGTGAGAAATCAATGTTCACTGTTTAAACCACCCAGGCTATGGGATTTTTTTTTTTTTTTTCTAGAGACAGGGTCTTACTCTGTTGCCCAGGCTGGAGTGCAATAGCACGATCACAGTTCACTGCAGCTTCCACCTCCCAGGCTCAAGTGATCCTCCCACCTCAGCCTCCTGAGTAGCTGGGACTACAGGTGTGCACCACCATGCCTGATAAATTTTTGTATTTTTTGTAAAGACAGGGTTTTGCCATGTTGCCCAGGCTAGTCTCCAACTCCTGGGCTCAAGCAATCTGCCTGCCTTAGCCTCCCAAAGTGCTAGGAGTACAGGCTTGAGACACTGGGACTGGCTGGTATTCTTGCTAAAATAGTCCAAATAAAGACACAACTCGTAATTCAGCAACAGTGGAATGGATTTCTCTTGAAATGCAGTAGTCATATTATGGAATATATTCAGCAATGAAAATCAGAAACCTGCAACAGCATGGTTGACTACAACAGCACCGTGAGTGAAAGCAGCACAACACAGATGATATAGTCTAGCTGTGTCCCCACCCAAATCTCATCTTGAATTGTAGCTCCCATAATTCTGTGTTGTGGGAGGGAGCCGGTGAGAGAGAACTGCATCATGGAGGCAGTTTCCCCCATACTGTTCTCATGGTAGTGAATAAGTCTCAGGAGATCTGAAGGTTTGATGAGGGGAAACCCCTTTCACTTGGCTCTCATTCTCTCTCACCTGCTGCCATGTAAGACATGCCTCTTACCATGATTGTGAGGCCTCCCCAGCCATGTGGAACTGTGAGTCCATTAAACATCTTTTTCTTTATAAATTACCCAGTCTCAGGTACGTCTTTATCAGCAATGCGAAAATGGACTAATACAGCAGAATACAGTTAAGATTCCATTTAAATGATATTCAATAACAGACTCAAACTATACTAAGAGATCCACACATAGTGAGTAAAAACTACTAGGTTGAAATATGAAATTGCAGACAGTCAATGATTTTTGACCTATCAAAAATGATAATTTTATATGGTTCAACTTCATATAAAGAAAAGCAGGGAAATTACTGTCACAAATGTGGGGAAAAGAAAGATCAGACTGTTACTGTGTCTCTAGAGAAAGAAGTAGACATAAGAGACTCCATTTTGTTCTGTATTTGAGATGCTGTTAATCTGTGACTCTATCCCCAACCTTGTCCTTGCAAGAGACATGTGCTGTGGTGACTCAAGGTTTAATGGATTTTGGGCTGTGCAGGGTGTGCTTTGGTAAACAAGTGCCGGAAGGCAGTAGTATGCTTGTGAAAAGTCATCATCATTCTCTTAATCTCAAGTACCCAGGGACATGTATACTGCCAAAGGTCGCAGGGACCTCTGCCTAGGAAAGCTAGGTATTGTCCAAGGTTTCTCCCAATGTGATAGTCTGAAATATGGCCTCGTGGGAAGGGAAAGACCTGATCGTCCCCCTGCCTGACACCCGTGAAGGGTCTGTGCTGAGGAGGACTAGTATAAGAGGAAAGAAGGCCTCTTGGCAGTTGAGATAGAGAAAAGCATCTGTCTCCTGCCCGTCCCTGGGCAATGGAACATCTCAGTGTAAAACCCGATTGTATGTTCTGTTTACTGAGAAAGGAGAAAACCGCCTTAGGGCGAAAGGTGGGACACGCTAGCGGCAATGCTGCTCTTTATGCACTAAAAAGGTTTATGGAGATGTTTACATATGCATATCAAGGCACAGCACTTTTCCTTAAACTTATGTCACAGAGATCTTTATTCATATGTCTTACTGCTGACCTTCTCCCTACGATGATCCTATTATCCTGCCACTTCCCTTTTTCTAAGATGGTAAAGATAATGATCAATAAATACTGAGGGAACTCAGAGACCCGTGCAGAGACCCGTGCCGTGCAGGCGTGGGTCCTCTGTATGCGGAGCGCTGGTCCCCTGGGCTCCCTTTTTCTTTCTCTATACTTTGTCTCTGTGTCTCATTTCTTTTCTCAAGTCTCTCGTTCCACCTAACGAGAAAACGCCCACAGGTGTGACGGGGCAGGCCACCCCTTCAACAAAAGTTAAGAGAATGGTTACTTCTGGGGGATGGAAGAGGAATGTGGTTAGAAAGGCATACAGGTCTGGGCATGGTGGCTCACACCTGTAATCCCAGCACTTTAGGAGGCCGAGGGGAGAATCACTTCAGTCCAGGAGTTTGAGACCAGGCTGGGCAACATAGTGAGACCTTGTGACTACAAACAAACAAACAAACAACAGTAAAAACCTAGCCAGGCTTGTTGGTATGTGCCTATAGTCCCAACTACTTGGAAAGCTGAGGCAGGAGGATCACTTGATACCAGGAGTTCAAGGCTGCAGTGAGCTATGATCGCACCACTGCACTCCTGCCTGGGTGACAGAGCAAAGACCCTGCATCAAGGATCAAGGAAAAAAGATAAACA